GGCTGTGTGGAGGCGGTCTGACAGGACTTCCTCCTAATGGAGGGACACCACACTCACTGACATGATGCTGACTGCTGGCATACACACACCAGTGATGCCACCTGACCATGAGAAAGGGTGGGAGCAATGCTATGGCCTACTGAGAGAATTTCCCTGTGCTTACAGACAGATCTGCCTTCTCTCTGGGCATTTTATTACTGGATGGCAGAGTTCATCTTCTGTGGCTCTGATCTGTTACCACCTTACTTCTGGTTCTTCTAATGCTGACAATCTAGGAAATTAAGCTGATTGTCCTGTTGTGCTAATAGACTACATAAAAGAGATGGATGCAGGGCCCTGGTCCTGGACATTTTCTCAAAAAGTTTATGGTCTCAATCACTAGCTTCAAGTCTTCTTTAATACAGCATGATGTTTATTTTGTACATTATTTTCCCATTTAGAGAACAGAGGTGTGGCAACACATATCCATGGCACATTTAAATAGCCATGAACTAGTTTTGGGGTGTTACTTAAGACCCGATCAGATGGTCTTTTTAATTGTTGCTAGGTAACCACCAAATCACCTGTCCTTAGCTTAACTTTTGCTCTCAAGAACTCACAGATCTGTAGCCTACCTTGAAACTGCATAAAAATGGAATGGCGAAGGGCACCCCTGTGGGTACAGTTTGACATTTTTTCGTCAATCGTCCGGCATAATTATGGTTGGTAAAACATTAGAAAGTAGTTGAGGCTACAAGTTGTTTACCTATGTCTTACAGCTTGCCTCAAAGGGCAACGATGAAGGTGAGCTAGCATTAGCTTAATATTCTACACTACTTGTTGTCATCACCACCACATAAAATTCATCTGATTGGAGGCTGGGATGGCTTTTCCGCTCTGAATTAAAGTTCTTTCAGCTCAAGCAGTCCAGGTTGTCCTGCAAAAAAGCGAGGCGCGTAGAGGAGAGAAACACGAGGCAGCAGCAATGTAAAAGCAGCAAGCAAAATGTTTCACTCTCATTGAAAGCCATTATAAAGCTGCCCCAGGCTGCTAACACATGCTCTGTCTGATCAGGGCCCAACACTTAAAAAACACTTAGCTATAAAGTTTACATTGTAAACGTAGTCAGGGCGTGCATAGTGTCCTCGGGTATCAGTGAGATCTTCCCTTTGCTCCTCATCAGCCTCACCCACTCATCAAAATATAGTCACTTCTAGCTCAAAAAAATAAGATGGCAATGGCCAAAAGGCCAAACTCATGGCTTCAAAATGACAGTCCACGAACAAATGGGTAATGTCACAGTGACAACATCCACTTCTTTTATATAGTCTATGATTGTACTGTCACTTTCTCATCGTCAGCATATCAAGTTATACTTGACAAAAATGACAATATGCATATACTGTGTATAAAACTGATGGTACAGAAGATAACGCTATGACCTCTCTGTGCTCGACGAAACAAAAGCCAGAGGAGCTGTGCCCGAATCAAATATTTTAAAACTTGCATCATGTTTACCAGAGGTATCACTGTCCCAGTTCTCCCACAAGATGTTCTCCTCACCCATGTGAGTTTGACAGGACTGAGGTCTGGCCTCCTGGGATTCATCACAGTGTGAATGGCACACAAGTCAAACAGCACTTGAAAATGCTGAATATGCTTAACTTTGCTGACGTATCTGACAACTGTTAAAATAAATTGAGCAGAAATAAAATGACTTCAGGAAAGTTGTCAGCAGCGGAAAACACTGACATTCAAATATGACTGTCTAATCTTACGGCCGCTGACTGTAATGGTTTATGTGACAACATCATGTGCCCGTCAACAGACATGTGATCTCAAACACACACCAGTTGTGCATAACTTTTCCAGTGTGGGAATATCACACCACTGTGTTAGGAAAACTCCCAAACATGAATCACTGTTGACAAATCATCCTCTGCACATTATTCGCAAATGGGGAAACACCTGAGGGATGTGCACAGGACACGCACACACAAATATGCAGAGTTGTGTGCACACATGCACCAAAATTATACAATTACTATCTGGTCTCCCAAACAGCGAGTTTCAGTATCTAAACAAATGTCATCGCTTCACAAAGTTTACCAGACTGAAACAGTTTAAGGTCTGCAATAAGCTCCACTGTTTTTTCTGTGATAACTTTCATCACCCAATCAAGTCAGTACACAATTGGTAGCAGGAGGGCGGGCACCCAACAGACACTTGGCTAAATTTGCTATTGAATCTCCAAAAGCAGATATGAAAGGAAACTTCTGCACGGCACAATGTGAAGCCTCGATTCAAAGCAGGCAGACAGCACTTGGGAGCGACGTAAAGGCATGCAGCAGCAGAGAGTGGAAAAGGAACACTGACACGGATTTCCAATAAATATAGATACAGGAGATGCATAATGGACATTTTGGCGACAGGTGTGAATGAGCAAAATATGATCTTTGAAATCAAGCCTCTTAAAATCACATGGAAAAGTATAATTAAGCACTGTATACGGTGGTGCCAACATGGTATGGCAAAGCAAGAAAAGCGGAATTTGCTGTGGTATCCAACCCTGTAGTGATAACAGACTGTAATAATAACAAACTACTGAATCTATTTTCTCCAAGTAGCCAGAATATGTTCCCTCACGATGGGCAGAAGTAGGCCTCACCTCCACCTCCACCACTGACACAGCAAGACTACTGTTAAGTTTGGACTGGTGTGCTTTCTAACTGGTGTGTGGGCCCTCAAAATATGTGACCGCAGCTTCCTGACATCCAGGTAACGAGACTGACTAATAACCTTATTAAATAACTACTGTAGCTCACTAACTTTTTGTCTGTCTGACACTGATTTTCTGGTCGCCTGACTGGATGGCCACCCTAATGTCTCTCCCTGTCTGCTGGTTACATGACCAGCAGGTTAATGGGTTTGTTGACTGACTTACACGTTGGTTTGATAAGATGACTCAGTGACTGAACACAGCAATACACCATTAAGCTGACTGAATCATACAATGAAATCATTAAACTCTTACAGTCAGCAGCCACTCTGGTGAAAACCGATGATTCCTGGGGAAGCCGGGCAGTCTTGGCTGCTGTTCTAATAAGGAAAGACTAATCTCAGGTTGCTATAACCCCAAGTCTCATGAGATGATGGGAGGGCAGCAGAGGCTGTTAAAAGACTTGCAAATGGGATGAATGCAAACAATACTGTATATACGGAACAACTCCTATAATGTATTTGAAATATGCAGGGCAATGCCTTCAACTTCAGGCCAATCTGTCTTTCCATTTTATTTTAGTTCCTTATAACCCACTTTGTTATCTACACTCATGTCCTAGTTACCCATTCATATTCCTCCTCAAGGTTAGACTGGCCATCGCTATTGTGTCAGAAATACTTGTAATGTGTTGAGAGCATTTAGAGGGGGTGATATGATGGGCTTAGTCTGAACTGATTAATTAACTTTACAACACATGTGCAGCAAAAGAACCGTCTCTACAATCTGAAATAACACTGAGCCAGGCTATACGTCAATATGCAATGCAAAGTAAGTTTCCAGCCAAACAATCATGTCCTCACATAATGGTAAGTTGCACAAATGAACCTTGAATTGAACCTTAAATCTTAAAAGACAAAAATAGTCCATAGAAGCAACGCTGCCTGACTCAGGGCATCTGGGGTGAATCTCTACCTTAAAGGAGCAGTGTGTAGGATTCAGTGGCATCTAGCTATGAGGACTGCAGCCTGCGGCCAGCTGAAACTTCTCCCATGTGCAAAGCAAAAACTCTCGATTGGGACTCCTTCAGTGTTCAGGTTTTTAGCGGAGGTGTTGTCCTCTCCAAAACAAACAGACCAGGTGATTAAAACCAGCACAAACACTGAAAAGCGGAGCGGCTGCTAACTACAGTGGCCGATGCAAAATCATAAATGGCCCTATGTCCTCGGTTACAGCAGAAATATGGCAATGCAAGAGGACGGACTCAATGGACAAGGGCCCTATGTAGATATAAACGACTCATTCTAAGATAACAAAAACATGATGATTCTTATTTTGAGGTGATTAAACACTAAAGAAACACACTTATAATATTATATTCAATTTCTGCCAGTATATCCCCCTAAAGGTAGCAATCTCTATTCCTTGATTTGGTTTTAACCACACCTGTAACAATACTTGATAGACTACCTGACTGCATCTGCAGCTATTTCAATAAAACACAGGAAGTAGACAGTCATCTAAATTGCAAATAAAGTACATGCAAACATATAGCTTGACAGCATAAAACATCTTTAGGCAAGGGCAGACTTGATGTCTAAGTAAAAAAATTGCACAAAATAAATTATATATCCACATAGTTATATATTTGCTTTAACAGCATAACTTATTGCTAATTAAAACATTTTAGTCATATTATCTGAAAGAGTGTTTTCATATTTTAATGCTTACTACAGGCTACTTGACATCATATGATCAAAAGAAGTGTCATGGTATTAGCATGTTACCAATAAGCAGTTATGTTTGATACATCATAAATTATATCTTTCCCCAGGAACATAATCCAATAGTGATTTTCATGCTGACAGAATCTGCACTCTGGAGTTAGAGAATTTCGGGACTTTCTGCCTCGTGAATAACTTCTCTGAGCACCGGTGGATGAAACCATGCGCAGTGCCCAAAAGCGCAACAGCAACAAATAAAACGTTCCTGGATATAAACGCCCTGCTCATCTCCATACCAGAAACGCGTGGCGCGCTGTGGATGTTAACGAAACACGACACGAGTGTGTATCCAGTGTCCAAATCCATAGTCCAGCCTTATTCTCTGCGCTGTTAATAAAGGTTTTACGGTCATATCATCACGATCCAGTGGAGAGACATTTATCCACACGCGAGCGATTCCACAATAGGCACATGCACCGAGCACCATGAGGGAAGGACCGGACGGATATACTCCTCTCCGGCTGGCCTGTCGAAGCCCTGAAGCAGGTTATAACCAGTGTGTGTACGAATCCACTTACGCATCCCAGGCAGGGCGAAGGAAACCTAACCATCCCGAATAAACCGCGCGATCTTCCGTGTTGATACAGAATCCCAAGTCGGTGCACTACTGGAGAGTGGAAGCGCACGGCGATTGTTGCCGCCCGGGTCCGTGTCTATTGGTTCCCTTTCAGCTGGGGCAGCGTCAGCACACACACACACAGTCTCCATTTGCAACTCCATCGCCCCCCATGGGCGTGCGAGGCCGCGGGCTGTGACGCAAATGGCACTGGGTGATTTGCAAATGACATATCTTCCTAATTCAGTGTCGTCGCCGCAGGGACCGGTCCAATTCACGAGATATCACACACAAAATACCCATCCGATGGTGGGTGACGAGTAAATAAAGGCGGATAAGCAGTTCGCTCTACGGGGATGCGGTTGCATAACTCAGGAAACTTAATAAAAATGTGCACGGAGAGCGATGTGCAGTCTCCACGGCTGATGTTCTGTCGTTGTTTCGGTTTGATCGTGATGGCCTGTAACATAACAGTCAGCACACGATCAGTCATCGACTTTTGGTCACAGGAGGAACCAAGCAGAGCGTATACACAGGGAACCGAGTGGCCTCGCTATGGTGGATGTGTGGTGGCCAGTGCTAGGACGCATGCACGTAGCTGACGGGGAAAGACAGGACAGCCGGAGTGGGACTTAGGACCGCATTCACAGGCCATAAAGGGCCCGCATGAATACTATTGTGCTCTTTTATCCAAGAGTCCCCAACTATTTACAAAAGGTTGGCCAACACACACAAAAAATATCGCGGCGAAATGGTGGCGGCGGTTACAGCAGCTGCCACTGTGCTCTGCGCAAAGCAGCAGCACAATCATTGCGCAGCGCCGGACTTCCCCAGTTTTGTGCAAACTATGTGATTCGTCCAAAAGACTTTTTATTTTTATCGCATTCAGCCTGTCCTCGTCTGGCAAGCAGCGAACCAGAGCGCAGGGCAGTCGCCGTTCTCATGGCACGATTTGCATCGCCCCCATTATCCCCGAAAATCTCTTTTTACACGGTTATATTGTCAGCCCCAAAACCACTATTTTGAGCCACAATAGGACAGCTTGACTTGATCAAAGGGAAAGCCAAGTCCAAAATGCACCTTTCACGCCGTAAAAGAGAGGCCCCTCATAACGATTGCAGCATGGCAGGGGAGTGCGGCGTAAAAACGAGCTAAACCGAATAAAATACACACAAAGACAAGGTGCAGTGCTCTCACAAATACGTCCATCGCCACCCTGGTAGTAACACTAAACCATCCATGATCATTTCAATTAGCCTAAAGCCAGCAAGGATGGCATTATTATGAATGTAAAACGCTGCGTTTTGCGGCTCCGTGCCACCTTTTCCAAGAAGCAGCTTGGCGCACAGGACCGGTGACCCTTCCATCTTTGCGCGTCCTTCTACCGAGCGAAATCGTGAACTATCTCCCGTTTTGACCATCTACTATTGAATAAAACACATTGCAGTAGGTGATTTCGTCTTTGAGGATGTAAACGCTACGTATAAGGGCTGCTACAAGTCTCTGAAACTATTCCTCTCCCCACCGCGGCCAGGCAGAAACAAGAGGGCGATGACGCCATTTTCTGCAAAAACAACCATGCTCGGGAAGCCAGAGCGAAGGAGGTTTAACCCGCACCGCAGCACTCTACTCCCGCTGAAACGAACCAGAAACCACTCCTTACCTTGTTTTTTATGGATGGGTGGTGGTATAGTGTGTTTGAAGAGGTAAAACTACGCGGTCGTGGCGACTTCGAGTCCGGAGATTGTTTATTTCGCCTCCCAGCGTCCCCGGTTCACTCTGAACAAGTTCGTCTGCGAGCCGCTGTCTTTGTGCACCCAGAGGAGCCTCTCAGCATTAAACCAGTCTCTGCGCAAAGGTGCACCCTCTACGTCCAATTTCAGCTGGAAATGTCAGCACTTTAGGGCGACACTGCGAAAAAAGGGAAGGATTTGACCTTTATCAATTAAGAAAAGTTGTATAATTTTCCAGCTCTTAACCAAAGGCCACGGTTGCGGCGCTGATTTATCCCCCAAAACGCGCAACCTTTTGAGGACACAGCTCTCCACAAGCGTCCATGACGCAAACGCAGAGTAAAACGGGTGGATACACCCTCCCAAAACTTAATAAGCCACATCATATAAAACACTTTACATCACCAATAAAATCAAATACTTAGGTCTACTCATTCAGCAATCAGAGGGGACAACTAAAAGTGATATTCATAAATGTGTGGCCAGAAGTAAACTGCATTTACTCATTAAAAATACAGCAATTTTAAAATGTTAATATTCCAGGGCGTATTAGCTGTCTCCTAAAAGATATTTCACAAGTAGAGACACATTTTACAATGCACCTACATGTGGCAAAACTTTCTCAGAGGAGCCACATCTGAAATTAAGAAACAGAAATATGATATAAAACCTGCACTGTGCACACGGGCATGTGCGAATAACCTAGTGTTAATGAACTATCCCTCATTTTATATCCCCCCTCTACAAAACTAAAGCAGCTGAATTCATCACAGTGCGGATTCCAGTGGTTTCAGTCTCATTTCCATATCCCATGAGCGTTCATGCAGAGTTGAGAAGGCCAATACAAACACCACTGAGTCAATCAATAGTTGACAAAACACACACAGTTTGGCCTTATGTGAATACCGTTAATTATTATTGACTATTTGTTTTAAGGTATATGTTAACAAGCTTCACACTGTGTTCACAAAACTCACTGCAAACAAATATAGGAGCATTTAAAGCCATATTTAATATGTGTATTATTGTTTAGGACGGCAGTGATAAGTCAGTGGAGTCTTACGCGTTGCTAAAGCTAGGCTAGCTAAATCAATTAAGCATAGCAAGCTAACGTTATGTCAAATAATCGTTAGCCTCACTAACTTCGCTCTTACAATAACTTTACCTCGCTTTTATTTAAACTAAGAAACAAAACCAATAACATGTCTAATGTTTTGTTATATTCTAGTTTAATATAAATGACAGGTGTAAATTATAAACAACTTTGCTATTTCTCACCTGAAGCTTGCTAAGTTAGCTCAACTGCTAGAGCACAGCAACAGCAAGTTTACAAACATAAAACAGCTATAGTTATGTTAGCATTATTTTTTACACTGGCACTGCTGTTCAACATTTTTTTTAAATATATAACAAATATTAACAACACTATGTGCGCACAAATGTAGTTTTATGCTATAACAGCTGGTCCTTACCTTGTTTCCAACAGAAACCTGTACCGTTGTGTTCACCCCTTCACCTCTCATCAGTTGGAAGATAAAAAATATTGTAGTTTATGTCAAGTAGATGCACTTCTAACCGCTTAGCTAAATATTAACTCACTATGTACAGTAAAAAGGCGCCATAGCAACCATTATGTTCTGCTAAAGTTAGCTAGCTAATGTATTAAATAACTGCCCTGTGTATTTAATGAGACAGCATCATTGATCAAGCTAATTGGGGACAGCTGGCTCATATACACGTAAAGTGATGGTGCATGAGAGTTTATGCAGGTGGGGTGGTGCTGATGGAGAGGAGTTAAATAATAGTTTTGTACTAATATAGCTTATTAAAGCTTATTAGTGCATTAGTACATGTGCAAAATGTCAGTTTTATAGAGGCAACAAGTTATTTTCCTGAGTGTAAATACTTATGGGTAAGTACTTTAGTATCAGGGTACTGAATAGTGATGCAACAATATAATAGTTTTAAATGTTTCATAGGAACAGTGGCGATCCTTGATTCTGGGGTGCCACAGGTAAAGATGCCCATCGAGTTCCTGACCTGTCCTAACTTAAAGTATCCAGCTGTCATATGGTAACTAGAAAGGGCCCCACTGAGGTTTTTGTTTTGTTTTATTTTTTTGGTGAACAGTGTGTAAGATTCAGGGGGATTTAAGGGCATATAGCTGTGAGGACTGCAAAACCATCTGAATCTCTCCAGGTTAGGGTTCCTTTAGTGTTTATTGCTCTGAAGGATTTCCCCAGGAGCTAAATTATCCGCAGAGGTCTCCTCCCCCCAAAACAAACAGAAGAGGGGTCTCATTTATAAAGCAATGCGAAGGATCCATACTAAAAATGTACAAAAAAATGGCGTGCACCCAAAAAATATTTAAAGAGCTCGAGAATCAGGCTTCCATGTCATCGCAAATTTTCCATCTCCAAAATGTTCATAAGCATGGGTCTAAGTTTCTCCCATCAAGTCTGTTTTTTATAGATCACAACTTTTGCATGGGAAGCGGTGTGCACGCTTTTTCAGGCCTCGTTTTGTGCTCACAGTACGTAATGTTTTTACATGAGACCTTTTCTCTGATGTGTTTCGGCATATCGGTGACAGGCTGCTCGTCCAGCACGTGCTAATGGGTGCTAACTTTTTTACTCTGATAACTTGAAATCCAGACATTCAGGAAGTTTTCATGGCAAGCTAAATTAAACCAGTAAAAAATCTGAAAAAAGCAGTTTTCCGACGCTCTCATTGCGGAGCTACTGCTAATTATGGTGACTGACCCAAAAACGCAAACAGCCCTATCTAGAGCCAGTGTTTGGTTTGTCCGTTCTGGGATGCTGTAACATAGTGGTGCCACATGGCAATCCCCATGGATGAGGACCCGCTCCCTATGTAGATATAAACATTTTATTCCAAGGTGATGAAAACACAACAAATCTTATTTTCAGATGGTTATACACTAAAGAAAACATACTTATTATATTCCATTTCTGCCAATATAACCCCCTAAATCCTGCACACTGGAGCTTCAATGGGCTTTATAGTTGTCATTGCAAAATGTGCCAATATGAGTGGTCATCCAGGGGACCGTTTTCCCAGATATTTTTTTTTTTTTGGGGGGGGGGGCAAGCATTTGCCTGATTTGCCTCTCCTTATGGTGTGCCCCTGTATAAGCAGATTTTTACTAAGTAAGAGGCTACTTAAACCACTACGGTCTAGCCCTACCACATATGGGGCGCACTCTATAGAATAGTTTGTCGCAACAAAAAAGTTTGTTGAATGGAGTACCTACACGGACTTCAACTCTGGG